TCCTCCTTATCCTCATCATCTCCCATTCCTCCTCATCCTCATCATCTCCCATTCCTCCTCCTCCTCCTTATCCTCATCATCTCCCATTCCTCCTCATCCTCATCATCTCCCATTCCTCCTCCTCCTCCTTATCCTCATCATCTCCCATCCCTCCTCCTCCTTATCCTCATCATCTCGCATCTCTCTTCCTCCTCATCCTCATCCCCATCATCCACCTGTTACATAGCCTATCGAGCATATACTCACCTATAATGTTAATAATGCTTACACATTTTCAAATATTTTATTCAAATTCTCTTTTTAATCTGGATTTATTCTGTAAGCTAACAAAATTTTATAATTTTAATAACAAATATAACATTTACTAATCATCACACACGAGAAATATCCATGTTGCCGTTTCACTCTTCCAGGTGGCGCTAAATGAATTTAAAAAAAAAAATTTGTCCAGAAAAATTTATTTATCGACCTTTAAGCATTTTAAAGGTAAGAATTTGTATTGCATTTAAATAAGAAAGATTACTATATAGAAACAAACATTATTATTAACACTTACTTTTTTAAATAACTAGAAATTTCGCGAAATTAACGACATAATAAGTAGCGCCCTCTCTTGTAAATTGTTCTACATTTATAAAAATGTTTTTTTGATTGCAATTAAAACTCGTTTTATTCGATATTTTATTGTTATAGGTTAATTTATGTTCTATTTTATTACTAGAAATAATTTACAATAATTTATATGGAACTTGCTATATCCAACGAGCTAGAATATGAGTGGCTGTGATCTTAGAAACAGCGCTCTTGGTGGCAACGACGGGTACTATCGACCGCCATTTTATTTTAAGTCAAAACATCGAAGTCTCTACTACGTGTTAGGTAGGACTGTCAGATTGTCACTTTAGAATCTATTTTTCTCATATAAACTTTTACCATTTTTATAATCTAAGTACGAGTTAGGTCTTGAAGGGCTTTACTCTCGGCCATATTGAAAATATTTACAATAAAAAATTACATTTTGACCTTTGTCATGTTACGAACCACAATGTCGAANCGACGGGTACTATCGCCCGCCATTTTATTTTAAGTCAAAACATCGAAGTCTCTACCACGTGTTAGGTAGGACTGTCACTTTAGAATCTATTTTTCTCATATAAACTTTTACCATTTTTATAATCTAAGTACGAGTTAGGTCTTGAAGGGCTTTACTCTCGGCCATATTGAAAATATTTACAATAAAAAATTACATTTTGACCTTTGTCATGTTACGAACCACAATGTCGAAGTTAAAATCCTTCTAAGAGGAATTAAGGAGCAATAATTGTGAGAAATGGAAGAAGTGTTGAATTTTCCCCATCAAAAATAGACAAAGAAAACACGCCAGTAAGTGCAAGCGACTGATATGTAGAAACTACATCATTAGGATGTGTACAAATTGTGCACGATATGAATCATTCTGGATAACAAAAGTACATTAACATGAGCTAACCTTTTGTTTGTTATGTTGTAGACAACAACCTTATACACCGAAGCCATGAGCCCAAAGAGGGATTGAAAAATTACCAATCCGAAATGCCTTGTTAAATAGTCAAAATAAAGTGAACTGTTTTAATCTGGGTCTCTGTTAATTGCGAATAATTAAGAAAGACGTGATAAATACCACTAGTCTCACTATTAGAAGAAACCTTTACTTATAACTTTTTATATTTTTAATTATCATCAAAAGGCAAAAAGCTTAATTTTGAAGGTAGTGATGAGTTTTAAAAACGCTTGTAAATGTTAATAATGAATAACATTAAGTCCTACCTCTCTCACAATATGACACATGACAACCCTCATCTCCCATCCCTTTAATATTAAAGAGCTATGGTGCTCTTAAATAATAATGAGCAGGGCCAATTAACCCACTTTGGAGTCCTAGACATTTTCTTCTTACTGGGCCATCTCCCACATAACATATTTTCTTTAGATTTTAGAATTCACAATAACCATATAAAAAGCAATATATTTTTGTTTATTAGGTATATAGTTGCCAACAGAAAAGTAAACTATCTTATATACAAATCTTTTCAGAATAGACAGTTTGACCAGGCCCTAGACATTTGTCTCATTTGTCTATGCGATGATCCGGCCCTGATAAGGAGCAATGATGCTATTTTAAATTAATAAGGAGCATCAACTCTCCTTGTACACAAGCTATCGTGAGAAATTTCGCATTTAACTTATCACTACAGAATATTTTGTCTTGTTTAGAAAGGTTTAAATAAAGGGTTAAAGAAATCTCTATTTTTTCTTCTTACCATCCACCATCTTAGTTAAGGGTTAAAACTCTTTCTTTACTTTGGGCACTTTTACACAAATTAGAATATTCTAGCTCGTTGCCTTTACACAACACAAACTGCAGGCTCCTTGACTAAATGGAAAATGGCGGACGTGTATTCAATTTTCTTCCAAAATGGTGTTGCTACAACCACTCTTATGTACTATATTCTATTTGTTTTTCAACATAAATGGAATATATGTAGAATGATCAAATGCTAAAAATCTGTACTAAGTTATTTTACTTGTTAGTAAGAAATCTACAGTACATTACTATGCCAGTAAGTAACTTGTCTGTATCTCATAGATGTCGATTTTTTCATTAGCAATAAAGTTAATATTTAATGAAAAATTTTAGATATACTTGGGCATTTGAAGTACTAAGCCGCTAAGCAAGTCAATGGCGTAGTCCGTTTATACGAAACATGTCAAATCGTTGATTTGTAGTTTGTCATTGAGTTTACCTTTTGCTAGATTTGATTTTCAAAAGTTAAATTCGCATCCTTAAGAATTTAAAAACTTTATTTAAATAAATAATGTAAACATAAATATTGATTTTATACACACTTCTATACATCATTGTTGGTGTTGGTTTACAACATCCATGCAACTGAGTTCAATTTCCACTCATGACTCTTTAAAACATCCAATAACATGTATTTAAAAAAATATGTTTAGTCATTTTTATGATTATCAAATTCTAGTTACAGAAAAGTTGAATTGGTTCTCCTTGAGTAGAAGAGAAGGGAAACCAATTCAAGTTTTCTGTAACTAGTGGCCAGCATCAACCCATTCTAGAACCTTTTGGTGGCCATTGAAGATGGTTGAAAAGATTTCTTATTAAATATTATTAAACTTTTTTTAAAATTCTTTGCTTTATAACTGACATATTTGTCAATTTAGAAATTGTTATTCTTATTTTCATCTGTTCTGAGGGGGTCAGACCAGTAATGAAATCAATTAGCAAGTGTTAGCAATACAGAAACAATGCTCTTTCTTTAATTACTTGCAACAAGGATCCAAATCAGATTCAACTCTGGATCTCCACAACAAAAGTCTGATGCCTTACCACAAGTTACTATTTTTGTATACAGTATATACATCAATCTTTTTTTTCTCTTCTAGTTAGTTTGTAACCAGCAGAAAGACCAAATGCCACAATCACTAATATTGCACTGATGGTAGTTATCCAGTCCCATAATGTGATGTCTGATTCTCCTCCAAATAAGTCCTTAATCCGCTTCCATGAACCATTATTGGGTAAGCATGGAATTTCAAGGATGTGGCACATGATGTTATAATGATCCACTACTTCCATAGGCTGACAAACATAATTATGCTTTATACCTAGTAAAAGATTAAATGATTTTTATAAAAGAATCAAGATATTAAAATTATAAATTTATTCATGTATTTTGTACCAGGTCCTCGTGCAAAAAATATTGCTCTCATGTCTCTAACTGTGTATGGATCATAACCAAACTCGCCATTATATATTTCCTGCTGTCCTATTTGTTTATTATTAGAAATCTAGTTTAAAAATAAAAAAAATTTTTATGCAGTTAATATAAAAACAAAAACCTTATCCGTATAAATTTACTTACACCATTAATGAGAAATCCTTCTTCAGCCAAGATAACAATTGGTAGAACATATTTACCCTTCTTAATCTTATAGTTTTCAGGTAATTCATTTTTCAGGAAAACTTGCAAACCATTTATGTTTGCCTTTTTTAATTCTTCATAAATCTGGTTATTAGAAATTATAATTTAAAATGATTTAAAATATATATACATATACATATAAATATACTTTATATGTTGGCATATAAGTTAATCTGAAAAATCTGCTTTGCACCTATAGATCAACCAAATATAAACTTCTAAATGCTCAAACATACTATCAACTAAACCTGAAATGAGGTCTAAAGTCCCTGTGGTCCACATGTACTAAAGTCCCACAGTGGTCCACACAACTTGCAAGCCACATGCAGTTCTTCTAGTTCCTTACTATGGCTCCACATACTCAGGACAGCCACAAGTGGGTATTCAGAGTGTGCAGAATGCCCACTTGTGGCTGAGTGTGCAATTTCCTTTTATAAACATGGTACATCTATATATATATGAAAATGGGCATGTGTGTCCCTATATTTTACTTTTCAGCCAAAACTACACATCGCACATGAATGGTGTTTGTATGTGGTAGTAGCCCCAAGTCTCCATTCATGCACTATGGTGGTTGCGTCTCGATAGCTATAAGGGTGCGAGAGAGATGGGGGCTTAAAGTGGTTGACTTCAAAGATTTTCTATTTCGATTTTAAAAATGTTTGAACCGTTTTAAATTTGAATTTGAATTGGTTCGATTATAGAATGATTATAAACGTTCCAGAAAATTGATCAAATTGAAAATAGTTCGTTTGACTGGACGTAAAAATTCTCTAATTAGCCTGGAAACGGGGGGCCTAATTCTTGCATTCTGTGCTATAAGGGTGTGGGAGATATGGGGTTGAAAGTGGTTGACTTCAAAGATGTGTAACAATGGAAGTGTCAACAATAGAAGTGTTAACAGTGGAAGTGTTAACACTTCTATTGAGTAACAAAGTAATTGAGTAACAAAGGAAGTGTTAATATAAAGCGGCACTCAAGATTTACAGGCGGTTTTTGCGGGAAATTGAACGTATTTTTAGACTCATGTAAAAATTCTCTAATTAGCCTGGAAACGGGGGGCCTAATTCTTGCATTCTGTGCTATAAGGGTGTGGGAGATATGGGGTTGAAAGTGGTTGACTTCAAAGATGTGTAACAATGGAAGTGTCAACAATAGAAGTGTTAACAGTGGAAGTGTTAACACTTCTATTGAGTAACAAAGTAATTGAGTAACAAAGGAAGTGTTAATATAAAGCGGCACTCAAGATTTACAGGCGGTTTTTGCGGGAAATTGAACGTATTTTTAGACTCATGTAAAAATTCTCTAATTAGTCTGGAACGGGGGATCTAATTCTTGCATTCTGTGAAAACGGGTAAGATTGGCTATAATGTAATTATCTTAATCTTCACTATTGTTACTTTTTGCCCAGTGAAGCAGGTCCTTGCAGCTAGATTACTTAGAAAAACAGTCTTTTATATATAAAAAAAAGTATATTACATACAAATAAAAACCCAGTGAAGCGGGTCCTTGCAGCTAGTATATAATATTTTTGCAAGTTTGCTGATATTGTAAGATCATTAATTGTTATTGGGCATAATTTTGTTTTTCAACATAAATGGAATATATGTAGGATGAACAAATGCTAAAAATCTGTACTAAGTTATCTTACTTGTTAGTAAGAAATCTACAGTACATTACTACACCAGTAAATACATTCAAGCCAAAATCAACATCAACACCTCCAATATAACATTGATGGTTTAAACAGCATAGTAACATAAGGTACTGTACATATAGTATATCATAGTAGAACACTGTAGTAAGCTACACTATTGTCATTTACATCAGTAGTGAAAAGGTGATATCAGCTGAAGTGTATGGAGTACTACTCATTTATACTAAACTTTTATTACTACATTAATCTTTATATTAAATATTTTCACCAAACACAATGTTTATTTGTAAATATTTGCAGGCTTGTAAGAGTTACAGCAAGTGGTACAGTGCATAATGATTGTTACAAGCATTGTTCGGCTTGTTTTTCACTCTATGGTAAGGTTCACAATTTTTACCTCAACCTCTAGTTTCGGAGAGATTTTTTTTCAGGCTTTAAAAGTCAACTTATATGCAAGCATATGTAATATACCATTTTTAATATTTACCTCATTTATCTTTCCTCTTTTAGGCTGAATCATAGCAAATGATCCTCTATTCAACATATAACTAATTTCATTAGTGTCAATGTAATTTTCAATGTTTATGATAAAGGCAGGATGTCGATTAACTTTTGCAATTCCGTGATCAGAAATTACCATCACTACAACCTATAGAAATCAATAAGATATTCAATAATTATTTCTCATTACTTCCGATTATTCAATTGTATTATTTATATAAGTTTTTATATAGAAAACCATTGTTAGTAATTAATATACAAATTCAGTATACTATAGACTACATTGCCAGATTGAATTTTGAACTACAGTGGTGCCTCATAGTCTGCATTTAATTTGTTCGGAAGGTTGTTTGAACTTCCGAACAAATTAAATGAAGTTCAAACAACCTTCAAATTAAATTTGAAGGTTGTTTGAACTTCAAATTGTTCAAAGTCTCAATCAGTTTTCCCCATTAGAAATAATGGAAAATGAATTAATCCATTCCCAGACCCAAAACAATACCCATACACAAATAGAAAATACATGTAATTTATGGTAAAAATTATACAATTAAATGAACTAAATAATAAATTAAAACACAAAAACAGTAAATAAAATATTTAAATACTGTACAATAAAATGAAAATTGCATTTACAAGTTACATACCATTGACTTCAGCATCTTAAACATGGCCACAATATCTGTCAAGTGTATACTACTTTTGTACTTTGCAATAAGTTCCTTTTTCATCTTAATCATTAACACTATAACCTTCCTGTTAGACTTTGTTGTTTCAACATTCTTCTTAGATGCAATGGTTAATAAGTAAAGGTTACATACTGTATATAACCAAAAATTCACAAGCATAACATGAGATGCTTTCAACAGTGAGAATGAGAGACAACTTAGGCACACAACAGGTAATGTTTACGCAACAAGCACATTTTTCACTGTGCATGCAGTTTCATTGTAGAAGCATCATTCAAACTCTGGATGGTTTGAAGTACGAGGTACCACTGTATTCTAGACCAGTGTTCCGCAGCACCCTGGTGTGCCGTCATATGGTGAAAGGTGTGACGTGAACTTTTACATATTCTGTTAATTTCAAGTTTCTTTTATATATTTTTATCACAGTTTTTGTGTTTCTTAAGCTTGTATTTCATTCTCTGCCACAGCACCGATGAAATAAGATGATGATTGTATATTCTTTATTACAAGCCACGTATTTTTATGTATTCTAAGAAATTATATGTAAAATAAATTTGCTCACAGGTGTTGATGTCTTTTAATAACAATAATAATAAGAGTAGTGGCATTACATATATGTTTTTGAGGGAAATAACATTTTGATGTGCCATGTTGAGTCATGGGTGTGCTGCAAGTAGAAAAAGGTTGCGGAACACTGTTCTAGATAGACTAGGCTTGCTACAAGATCTATCTTATCTGGAATGACTACAGAATTTCACTTTTAATGGATAAATTACACATATCAACATAAAGTAACATATGAGAACTTGTCAAATTCAGACATTCTGCTCATTTAAAATAATGAGGATACAAAAGAGACTTGAAAAACATTTGTAAATAAGAATTCTAGATATCAAACAATAATTTATTAAAAATTCAAATATCTAAATGTATTTATTTTAAAATGAACAATAATATGGAGTCATAATTTCTAAATTGAAGGAAAAAAAAAAAAACTTACATGTAGAAATGAAACAGCAGCATAAATATTAGACNTTTAAAATGGTGTTTCGTCGCTTTTTATTAATTAGAGACCCAAATAAAACAAATATTTGTGTTTTTCAAATAAATTTTCTTTACTCTCTTTTATAATAAATGAATTTATCTATTTCTAAGTAAAAACTGAAAGTGTCTGTAAAAGTAATTTTTTAAAATATTCTTTTTTCTTGATAAAGTTTTAATACTTATTATTATAATCTAGACATGTTAATTTTTAAATATACTTGTATATTGGGCCACAGTATATATTATATATACTTGTGGCCCAAAACTCCTTGACTTTTTCCAATGCGGCCCAGAAAAACAAAAAGGTTGGACACCCCTGGTATAAATGTTAGCTGTAATTTTTCTATGTATAGCCTAAATTTATGATTTGTGTATGGGTTTGTATATGTGCCGGGCAGTTTTAACCGCTTTTGAGGCTCCGGCCCAATTTCTTTGGATGTATTATACAAATATAGAAGAAAAATATTAGTAGTCAGCAATGAGATATGGCCCCAAAAAAGACAAGGCCCGACCATGACGAGTAAGACCATGCATTACTACGGTTCTATGTATAGAACATGTTTGTGTGTGTGTGCAGCAGCGTAACCAGAGAGGAACCCAAGGGTCTAGGGCCCACCTACAGTAAATAAATAAAGAAAAAAATCAGATAAGTACAGGAAAAAGATTTGAATGTAATCAATGCACTATATATTCTTCATCCACAGTGGTAAAGGGTATTAGAAAGCGAGAAAGTAGCTTATGAGGCAAGGAAGTAGCCCTTTACTACGTTTTAATTCGGGCCTTTACTTAATATTGCCACTGTTATGTGTGAATTGCACATGTGCAAAGTCCCTCAAAGTTCGAAAGAGTCCTGGGTGAATTGCCTTTATTGAGACCCCAGTATATTAAACAATATTAAACTGAGGCCCCAGTATATTGCAAAACAATATTGTATTTTATATTTTAAATACTAATATTTGACAAAAAAATAGAGTTATTTTTCTCCATATACGAGAAATGCAATATAATAATGTGTAACAAATTCGTGGGCCCTTTTTAAATAAGTGATCCACGTAAGTAAGTAGCCCTGCTGGTTTTTTCTATGATAAGGTCTGAGTATGTGTATGCGTGTAGATGTTTATATTTTCTCTCTATCCAACCATTCTATAGATTACTCAGATGAACGTGAGTGTAGATTTCACATTAGCTTACATGTTCACATGCGTTAATTCTTGAAGACACGTATTTCTGCGAAAATTCCTATAGAAATTAATTCATTCGAGGGTGGCATTCAACATAAATCTAATCTGATAAATAAGCTTGATGTTTCCTAACATTATCAGCACTGATTAGAAAGCAAGAAAGTTGCTTATGAGGCAAGAAGGTAGCTTATGAGGCAAGGAGGTAGCTTATGAGGCAAGGTGGTATTCCATTAATTTAGCCATTTTTTGAAAACATTTGCCAATTGTAACAATATTTTGTATTGTAACAAGACTACAGTTTCAATTAATTCTTCGAGAATTCTCAAGAGGTAAACTAATTCTTAACCCATTTATCTAATTTAAAGGTATAGAAGACCTCTAATTCTTGGAATGGTCGAAGGTGAACAGCTCTACTTTCTGTGGCGGAGACAGTTCACCAAGTAACCCAACGACAGGGAAATGTGTTAGGTCAATGCACCTGTAGTGCTATCGCTTGTTGAAGAACGTTGAATGATCGTTTTCTGGGTCACTTTATCGTGTTTTCTAACTTCAGATTATATTCGATCATCAGAATTTTATCTTTATATTATCCGATAGTCAGATTAAATTCTTTGTGTGCGTAACTAAATGCGATCCATTGTGCATGCCAAACATTCAAATGCGATCCATTGTGCAATTAATGAAGAATTGGCACTTATTTCGCGTATTTTGTTACTAAAAATTGTATTTTTTTTTTACTTGTGTTTTAAAGTGTTTTTCTTGGTAAAATCGGTGTTAAGTGGATTCAATCACGCCCAATTTAGTGGTAGTTTGCACTCACATCGAAATGAATCAACGGAAAAGTCATTGACATGCTTCTTGTAACTTAAATTTTTTCATATTTTTTATAGATTTTTTGAAGTTTTAAGGGGATTTTTTACTTGTTTTTCGCTTTAATTCATCTTAAAATTCCTTACTGGCACGTTTTTGTCAGTAAATCGCTCCATTCACAGCTCATTTACGCCATATCTAATCAGTGAAGAGATAAGTAATATTAACTTCCCATACATGAAAATAGATAAATTATGTTAAATCTCGTTTTAAAATGTATAAATTATGTTAATTTTTCTCATTAAAACATGTAAAATCATATTAATTTTCCATAGTTATCTGCCGTAAAAGAAAAGATCAAAAATTACTCTAATTATCGATACGTTCTGAGTGTTAAAGATTAGAAAAAGCGAGACATTTTTTAATTTTTATACTAATTTTTTCGAATTTTAAAGCATGGCCATTATCCAAAAATTGATTATTTAGCTTTCAATAATCGAAATTTTTCAAAAAATACATTAAAAACATGAGGAAAAGGCATTCAATTACACGCTTCGTTAACTTCGCTTTAGATTTGATATCTGTTATAAATTTAAAAAAAAAAACGTTAAAAATAATGTATAAAAAATAAAAATAGGAAGATAAACAAAAAATATATATTATTTTAATGTCAGTTTTTTTTAGAACTTTTCCCAATTTTCATAAATTTCCTTCAATCTCCTCTTTATGTAAAAAAGGACTTCAACCTCCATTTTGTCTTCCTTCCTCGACTTATTCTTTTGTTATGAAAATTTACTATAGAGTTTATTGAATTTTATTAATAAAAATATAACTTACGTCTTCTATTTTTTATATATTTTATCATAATTTTATTATTCATCCTGCTGTGAATGTATATATAACAATTGCATTATGTTGTATACAATGATACAATTAATAACTTCTTTAAGGCTTAATTTTGACTTCTTGAGGGCCTAAATTATAATATAAGAGGCCTTTTACCTCTCTAAAATGAGGCCCTCGTTGCTTGGGGCCTGTAGCTTATGTATAAACCTTTTTTTTTTAATTATATAAAAGGTAAGCTTAATTATTTTATGTAGCATACTTTGATATAATATATAAATATCTCCAGAGCATAATTTAGGCTTTTTTGGACTTAAATTATAATATAAGAGGCCTCTCTTCTTCATTTTTTTTAAAGTACCTTTTTTAAAGACCTGTGCTGTTTAGTCTACGTATAAATCATTCTCTAGCCTTTACAAATGTATAAAAATTTACATATTTTTATTAAAATATTGAACTTAAATTAATATTTTTTAATGAAAGAAGGTGTATATAGTTTATTTATCACATATTTTCCTATACATAATTCAATTCTGTAACGTTATAAGCGATATTTCTTACACACGTGAAAGGCACATAGCATGGTAACTGGTACTAAACATAGCAGCATCTTGAATTTATGAATCATAAAAATAACTTATTTATGCCTCAGACAATTCATTTATTCTGTTTTGTATCACGAAAATATATATATAAATTAACTTTTCCTTTAAGGTTAACACGAGGAAAACAGTGCTTTTAATTGACCAGGTCGTTCACCATTCCATAGTTACATTATGCAACTTGTTCTTCGTTGTAGGGATATTAATAATATAAAATTTCCTAATTTCATATTTAAAAAAACAATAATATGTTTCGTAATTTTGTAAAAACATTATTAAAAATACAGTAGAAATTAAAATAAAATGTAATTTTTAGTAATAAAGTATTGAAAGTGCTTAAGGGGGTTAGAATTAGAAAGGGGTCAATTTACTTGCTAAGATTTACGTAATGTATTGAAGAGAGTTTCAAGGGTTTTAACCTTTAAAACTGCTACAAGGAACTAATAGTATTTTCTATAGTAACTAATTAATTTAAAGAAGGAACTTTCGTGTAAAGAAATAAATAAGGGATAATACTTCTTTAATGATTTAATTTTAGAAAAGAAAAATAATTTAAAGAGATCTTAATAGTGTTAAAATTTGTTATGTTTTTTTATTATTATCATTTTTTACATAAAATACTTAATTTAACTTCTTTCTTTCTATGTACTGGGTTCGTGGGAAAAGATCTTAATGACCCTCCTTTACATACGTGTGTAACATTGAACTCCAGGTTTAAATTGAGNTCTTAATCTTCACTATTGTTACTTTTTGCCCAGTGAAGCAGGTCCTTGCAGCTAGATTACTTAGAAAAACAGTCTTTTATATATAAAAAAAAGTATATTACATACAAATAAAAACCCAGTGAAGCGGGTCCTTGCAGCTAGTATATAATATTTTTGCAAGTTTGCTGATATTGTAAGATCATTAATTGTTATTGGGCATAATTTTGTTTTTCAACATAAATGGAATATATGTAGGATGAACAAATGCTAAAAATCTGTACTAAGTTATCTTACTTGTTAGTAAGAAATCTACAGTACATTACTACACCAGTAAATACATTCAAGCCAAAATCAACATCAACACCTCCAATATAACATTGATGGTTTAAACAGCATAGTAACATAAGGTACTGTACATATAGTATATCATAGTAGAACACTGTAGTAAGCTACACTATTGTCATTTACATCAGTAGTGAAAAGGTGATATCAGCTGAAGTGTATGGAGTACTACTCATTTATACTAAACTTTTATTACTACATTAATCTTTATATTAAATATTTTCACCAAACACAATGTTTATTTGTAAATATTTGCAGGCTTGTAAGAGTTACAGCAAGTGGTACAGTGCATAATGATTGTTACAAGCATTGTTCGGCTTGTTTTTCACTCTATGGTAAGGTTCACAATTTTTACCTCAACCTCTAGTTTCGGAGAGATTTTTTTTCAGGCTTTAAAAGTCAACTTATATGCAAGCATATGTAATATACCATTTTTAATATTTACCTCATTTATCTTTCCTCTTTTAGGCTGAATCATAGCAAATGATCCTCTATTCAACATATAACTAATTTCATTAGTGTCAATGTAATTTTCAATGTTTATGATAAAGGCAGGATGTCGATTAACTTTTGCAATTCCGTGATCAGAAATTACCATCACTACAACCTATAGAAATCAATAAGATATTCAATAATTATTTCTCATTACTTCCGATTATTCAATTGTATTATTTATATAAGTTTTTATATAGAAAACCATTGTTAGTAATTAATATACAAATTCAGTATACTATAGACTACATTGCCAGATTGAATTTTGAACTACAGTGGTGCCTCATAGTCTGCATTTAATTTGTTCGGAAGGTTGTTTGAACTTCCGAACAAATTAAATGAAGTTCAAACAACCTTCAAATTAAATTTGAAGGTTGTTTGAACTTCAAATTGTTCAAAGTCTCAATCAGTTTTCCCCATTAGAAATAATGGAAAATGAATTAATCCATTCCCAGACCCAAAACAATACCCATACACAAATAGAAAATACATGTAATTTATGGTAAAAATTATACAATTAAATGAACTAAATAATAAATTAAAACACAAAAACAGTAAATAAAATATTTAAATACTGTACAATAAAATGAAAATTGCATTTACAAGTTACATACCATTGACTTCAGCATCTTAAACATGGCCACAATATCTGTCAAGTGTATACTACTTTTGTACTTTGCAATAAGTTCCTTTTTCATCTTAATCATTAACACTATAACCTTCCTGTTAGACTTTGTTGTTTCAACATTCTTCTTAGATGCAATGGTTAATAAGTAAAGGTTACATACTGTATATAACCAAAAATTCACAAGCATAACATGAGATGCTTTCAACAGTGAGAATGAGAGACAACTTAGGCACACAACAGGTAATGTTTACGCAACAAGCACATTTTTCACTGTGCATGCAGTTTCATTGTAGAAGCATCATTCAAACTCTGGATGGTTTGAAGTACGAGGTACCACTGTATTCTAGACCAGTGTTCCGCAGCACCCTGGTGTGCCGTCATATGGTGAAAGGTGTGACGTGAACTTTTACATATTCTGTTATTTTCAAGTTTCATTTATATATTTTTATCACAGTTTTTGTGTTTCTTAAGCTTGTATTTCATTCTCTGCCACAGCACCGATGAAATAAGATGATGATTGTATATTCTTTATTACAAGCCACGTATTTTTATGTATTCTAAGAAATTATATGTAAAATAAATTTGCTCACAGGTGTTGATGTCTTTTAATAACAATAATAATAAGAGTAGTGGCATTACGTATATGTTTTTGAGGGAAATAACATTTTGATGTGCCATGTTGAGTCATGGGTGTGCTGCAAGTAGAAAAAGGTTGCGGAACACTGTTCTAGATAGACTAGGCTTGCTACAAGATCTATCTTATCTGGAATGACTACAGAATTTCACTTTTAATGGATAAATTACACATATCAACATAAAGTAACTTATGAGAACTTGTCAAATTCAGACATTCTGCTCATTTAAAATAATGAGGATACAAAAGAGACTTGAAAAACATTTGTAAATAAGAATTCTAGATATCAAACAATAATTTATTAAAAATTCAAATATCTAAATGTATTTATTTTAAAATGAACAATAATATGGAGTCATAATTTCTAAATTGAAGGAAAAAAAAAAAAACTTACATGTAGAAATGAAACAGCAGCATAAATATTAGACCAACTGCAAACTGTATAATGTTACTACTGTATAATGCAGTTGTGCCACAGAAGATATATTAAAATCAGAATATAATTTTCATAAATAAATTGAATATTTATGTTAGAAAAGTAAAGACTTGTTAAAAAGATAAATAAATGGAGAATTTCACATTGTTTAAATAAGCATCTCTCAATACAATCTGAGTTATTAATTCTGATTAAGCTGGAAATTTATAATACAATAAATTTATATCTAAATTCTACTTGTGAACTCTTTCTGGCCTTAATTATTGACTTCTTGTTAATAAATCTAAAGAATTAGTCATCAAAGAATCATCCAGTTTGAAGATAGATTTAGATGTGAAGTATTATTTCCATTAGTAAAATAAAATTCTGAAAGATATAAAAGAATTATCTTACAGAATTTTGCTTTAACAAAGTGTTTTTAGAAATTTTCAATATGATAACACAATAATTCACTTTTATTAACACTTTACTTAAACCTTTTCCAGTGCACAGTAACTTTTCAGATAACCTGAATATCCTAAAATTATTTTAAAGAGAATTAAAACCAGCTTGGAACAGCTGCATGTTATCATTTGTGGTTATTATTTCCAATGAAGTGATTGAATCACAAACAACATGCAACTGTTCTTAAAATAATTATAAATATGTAAATATATATATATATATATGTGTGTTAACTGACTTTTAAGCCATCCTGTGTACACATTTAAAATTTTAATCACTTACATTGTTTTGCATTTTCTTTTTTAGAATATTATCCTGAAGATCAGATATAATCTTATCAATGTTCTTAATCATATCCTGCATTTCTACAGAATCCGGTCCATAACGGCGACCTGAATTAAAAAATTGAATTTGTCGAAAATGTCAATAAAAGAATACTCTTAATGTTTTTACCGATAAATTTTAAATCAGAGACTTACCTACAAATTCAATTGCCCTGAAGTGAAACATGGCTAAATTAAGTTTCTTTTTCAAGAATTTATCTAAAACATCATTTAAACGTTTTTGAATGTTATTTAATTCCCAATCTGGATTCTCGTAAGAATTCTGAGGATATTCGCAATGCGTTGCTGCAAATCCTCCATATTCAACTTGGCATCCGTCCCACCAGTATAAAGCAGTTTTTATATCGTGTTTCTCGGCAGTTATCCATAACGGTTCAGCAAATTTCCACCAGATTTTCGACGATTTATCATCATAAAAACCTTTTGAAAAAACTTGTTGACTTTGTTCGTCATACATATAATCATCCACTATACCATGATGTTCTGCATATAATCCTAAAATTTCAAAGGTATAATATTTACAAAATAATCTTTTACTTTCTTGAAATGTAATAAAATTTTTAGCAAATTTCATATGTACAATATTACATCATTAAACCACTCTTTTTAATATATTTTTTTTAATAAAAATTTTTAAAATTTCTGGATTTAACATAATTCAACTTTTACTATCACAGACCCTTTTTTTTCCCTTGAACTCTTACTTTGCAGGCACTAAAAAGGCCTTTATTTGTTCATCGTGGGTTTGGTCAGACCTGCAATAGAGGCAGTCAATAGTGAGGCATAGGGCCTGACACATTCTAGTCAGAAATTTTTGTTTCCAGAAAATTAATATTGAATATTTTATAACAGAAAATTAAAAATGATTGTAGAAAAACCAAGTAATTTGAATGATAAAAATCTTCCTCGTCATTTTTCTGTAGTTATTCTAATTCATCAGTAATAATTATTTTAACCTGAAGATGTTTGATTGATAGATGTTTATTTTTACAAACCACAATAAACATCAATTAACATTCAATCAATCACTCATATTCATCCTTTTTGATGTTTTGATTGCTTTTTGAATGTTTCCTGAAAAAATAGGTCAGAATAATGTTTTCTATTAAACTTTTAACTTTATTTTTAATAATGCTTAAGACTGTAAAATGAATTTTTGGGATGGTAAGAACAAGATTTTATCTCTCAAAATACATTGGTTGTAGTTGTATGGGCAAAACAATTTGCAATGTAATTCTTGAAGCAAACCTACAAGATATTCTGTCCATATATTCCTTCTGATATGGCCGTTTACATAGAAATTTGTACTATTTTTTAACAGTTCTTTCCAATTGTTAACCATGAAGTATCCTATACGTATATTATATGTATTTAGTAAAAAATTTTAATTCTATTATGATGTATCATACGACAGGTGGGCAGCAGACTAACCTAGTCATTTTTCTAAAATGCATTTCTATGTCATTTAGCCATAAAAAACATTTCCTCACATCACTTATCTATCACATTAGATTATCAGATTGATCAAACATTTTGGCAATTTATCATTGTCTACAATGATATTTACTAGATAAGAAGTGGACAGGCCACGGGTGGTCCACATTTTATCTGTGATTTGGTTTAAGTGTTCTGTGAATCAACAATAACTTTGAGAACCATTCCATACAACATTAATCCTATGTATAAAATATAATAGCAATGTACTGTACTTTACATAATATATGCATTTTAATATGCTGTTATAAAGAGGAAAACACATTATTTTCCACACTAATTTTAAATGCTGTCTTAGACTATTATTTGAAGTTTTAATCAAAAATTTTCATCAAATTTTGCAAATCATACAACATTGCAGGATGTAATTTTTGGAGAGCTTTATCTCGTGATGCTTTGCTTATATAGACAGTACCATTGCAGTACAAATGCATCTCTGAATGAAGAAGTTGGGACTTTATCACATCTGTAGCCATGCCCATAGGAGTAAAAAAAATTAAAAGAAACCAATGGTCTACATGTGATCCTTTTCAAGATATAACCCTGCTGAAATCTTGACCACTTGCTTGTTAAACAAATGATACGCTTAATGGAGCATGCAGGACAACTCTGATTGTGTCCCCAGTAATAGTCAGTACACTTACGTTTTATGACATTTTAGCAACCTCTAGTAAAGTGGAAAACAGTTGATTTTTAGCACTATTTGAGATATTTTTTCCACTTAAATTTTACCCCATTTTTGGGGTCTTCAAAATTCTAGATAGGCTTTGGGAGGTCATCTTGCAAAGGATCACACGGTTCATTTCACTTTTTCATACTTCGGATAAAGTCCAACTGCCTCATTCAAAGCCGCATTTGTATCACATACATAGCAGAGATAGCATCTTGCAAACTGATAAGAACCGAGTGTCAATATGCAAACTGAACTCGTGACAAATCTTAGGAAATAGTCGTGCTCGTAGCTCACCTGTAACAATACTATGACAATTTGGATAAGTATTGGACGGAAACACAGGCAAAACATAATCAGCAGTCACGCCGTTCTTTTTTAATCTTCTAAAACCATTAAGGGGGCTTATTTTATCGAAAATGTCGACAAAATCGTGACGGAATCCTTCCAGCATCAATACAATTAACCTTGTATTAGGATCAATGTTCTCTTCCCCTCCACTTCCTCCTAATAACCAATAAGCTAGCAAGTCACATCGACATAATGGAAAATATATGAAAAACAATAATAAAACTGTTCTTATTTCTATATTATTAAGATTATGTACATTCATCTATTTATTATTAAAGTAATCAATTTCGATTCCCGACCACGCCTCGACTCACGCTGCAATGATTTTATCGTTTAAGTGTTGCCACCCGAACAAAAATTTTAAAATAAAAATATGAAGAAATTTTTCTTTATTCAATTATATAAAAGATGATTTATTAAACAATAAAAATTAATGTATATTATAATAGTAATAATTAATTTTTATTTAAAGTAATATAATATTTTAAAAGGAAGCTTTTTTTTTTATAACTCCGCCCTATAAGCATTAAGAGGATCTTTTCAGCAAGCCCATTATGGGTTAGGCTAGGCCTACAATGGGCCAGCAGGGTGATAAGGGATGGGGCCCGACATATCCGGTCGGATCAATTCCCGAAAAAGTCCTGGGGTTTTTCGACCGTCCTGATGGATCCAGAGCGGTAGACTGCCACCTTAATTAACCACTCGGCCATCTTAAAAAAATTTTATGTTGGCTAGCCTAAAACGTTAGTCAATATAAAATTCTTTGCCCTATTGCCGGTCAGACGTATCCGAAATTGTGAGCAATCCTTGATATCTTTTGACAAATACATTCCAGAAGTTGCAATCGCGGATTTTCCAGAGTGTTAGGCTGCCAGAGCCATGTGTAATGGCAATGCATAGAATCCTGATGCTTTGAGAGCGCTTTGATTTTGGTACAGTTCACGTACCGTTATTGCACATAGCTATGGTGTGAAGTCATTCTACGATTGATTAAAAAATATTTTAAATTACCATTGAAGAGCATATATATAGATACACACAATAGATAAAGCTCAACTTCAAGAGCAATAATAGTAAATTCTATTATTGTATTTCATCTTTCAGCGAAGAATTGTGAATTTGCAACATTGTAAGAGTTGTTTGACATGAAATTTATGTTGCTAAACAATTTTTACAATGAGTAAGCCATAAAGACTCGACTACTAAAGAAATAAATATGGAATATTTAGTTTATCTATGTTTCCACTTCCTTGAATTGAAAACATAGATAAAGTACTGTATATCCTGCTTCTAATCAGATACTGAATCATAAGATAATATATCTAACTGTTACTTACCTTTGAAAAAAGTCATAAGTAGTCATCCCGTAGCTATATTTTCTGAATCAGTAATAAATATGCTGTACATAAGCTATATTACAATAACATGCTAATGTTTGTATAAATCAGGGGTGTCCAACCCGCGGCCCGCGGGCCGCATGCGGCCCAAGGCAAGTTCCAATGCGGCCCAATAAACATGTAAACAAAACCGACAAATGTTTTAATTTTTTTATTATTTATTTATTTCAACGGCTTAAACTCAACAAAAGTTTCACAAAGCCATAAACCTTTATTCATATTTTATTTTTGAGTGGAAAGAAAATATTTTCAAATACTTTGAGATGTGTGAATGCGAAATGATTACTAAATAAAGCTGGAGTTGTGACTCAAAGGATTATAGACCCAAATTTGGGAAAAGGAGGGAAAGATGAGAAAGGACAAAAGATGTAGTAGTGAGAAACGTTAAATAGATCTTCTTTAAACAAATAGAGAGTCCTTAGGAACCCGTAATTTTTCAACCTTTTTCACTTCTTTATCTTTTGTCCTTTGTCTCTTTTTCCCCGCACTTGGGTCTATAATCCTTTGATTCACAGCTCCAGCTTTATTTAGTATTTCTTCCAACGTTGCAAGATTTGGCTAATTGG